GGATGGGGCCCGGAGGATACGGTCGGGGACTTTTGCGTCGCGGGTCGCCGCGGCGGCCCCCAGCGGCGCGCTGTGCCCTGTAAGCGGACAGCGTGCCGCGCCGCTCCATGCTCGAGGCGACGGGCCCGACTGCAGCAGGGCCGCACATCGACAGGTCTGGCCCGACTCCAGGCAGAATCGTGCTTGGATGATCGCCGGCTCTCTACCGACAGGGGGGGGGGGCTGGCGGCGGCTCAAGAAGATGAGCCTTATGTCCCCCTACAGGGGGATTTTCGACGAAAAATGAAAATACCCCCAAAATGCCCCAAAAGGTCAAGAAATACTCAAAAAGAATTCCCAGACTATTTTTGGATTATTTTTGAACTTCTTTTGGGGTATCTTTAATTTTTCGTCGAAAATCCCCCTGTAGGGGGGCAAGCCCGACTTAAGATGAGCCCCTGAGGGCTGGGGCCCTGAGGACAGGATGGGGTGGAAGGCTGGGTTTGCACAGTGCCTGAGGCACGTCGTCCTTGGGGCTCCCTCCTTCGGGGCCCACCTCTGAAACGCCGAGAAGAAGGAGGAGCACGACGGCGCAGGCGCCAACGCGGGGGAAGTGCATCGGGTATGCGCCAGAGGAGGGGGGGGGGCAGGAAGAGCGCGGTGTTGCCGCATCGTGGCTCGAGGCGGGTGCGTGGACGAGGCAAGGGCCAGGGCTCGCATCGACAGTGTAAAAAAGGGTTGTGAGCTTGTTTTCCACCGCTACCACCAGAAGTAGAAGGGGGAGGAGGTCCTCCTCCTCCTCCTCCTCCTCTTCTTCCTCCTCTTCTTCCCTCCTCCAAAAGTATGGTGGTGGTGATGGAAAACAAACGCATCAAAGGGGCGACGCGAGATCTGGGAGAGCTCCTGTCGTGCCCCGGCCGTGGCATCCGCACATCCCTGTGGCAATCACTCGCCCCCCGCTCGGGCGCGCCAGTGTGTGCGGCCAAACAACAAACAATATGGGCGTTGGGCGCGGGGAGTTCCATGGCTGCCCCCCGGGCCAGGAGGAGAGGGGAGGCAGGAGAAGGGAGAGAGGAGTCGGAGAGGAAGGAGGGAGCCAGGAGGATATAAGATAGGATCGGATAGCCAACTGACGGTGTCAACGAGAGGGACAAAACACGCTGCCTGGGCATGTGCAGTGTGTTGGGAGTGACCTAGCGCACCTTGGTCGCTCTAAACCTCGAACGGCCCAGGAGGGAGGTGGGACTCGGGAGGAGAGGGGAAGCATGAGAAGGAAGGGAGGCGTCGGAGCTGAGGCTCCTTCCTCTTTCCATGTCTGGCGGGGGCACTCCTGGGGTCCCGAGGCTTTTTCAAATTGAAGGGGCCCTGGGACACACAAATAAATACACACAAATAAAATGATTCCCCATGTTTTCCCATATTTTCGGGGGTTTTGTCTTCCCCCCCACTTCCAATGTTTTTCCATATTTTCCTTGGGATCGACGAATAATTGTGTCTGTGTGTTTCTTCCCCTCCTGACAAATGTTCTCCCCTCTCTGAGGCTTCCCGAGGCCTTCGGACCTCTGCGAGGACGGGGAGAGCTCCGAGCGTGGCGTCGCGCGTTTCGGAGCGGCGCGGCACGGGCTGCGCGGGAGAGACCACTCCGCCCGCACTGCGCGAGAGGGAGGAGGGGAGGAGGAGGAGGAGGAGGAGAAGGAGGAGGAGGAGGAGGAGGAGGAGGAGGAGGAGGAGGAGGAGGAGGAGAGGCACGGGCAGGGATGGGGGCAGATGGGGACGACGCGGGGGAGGGCAGGAGGGGGAACCAGAGCAAACGCAAGATGCACCAACGACGACGCAACACGCCCTCCTAAAGGCCCCCAAAAATGTTCTAGAGGTGCTGCATTCTACAGTGTGTAGATCCCCCACTGCCACTCACCCAACAAGGACCAGCATTCCGAGTCTTCCGCGAACAGTGCCACAGAAGCCACGGGAGACCCCCCAGAGAACCAGATCAAGCCCCAACCAAGGCCATGCTAACGGCGATGTTGGCTAACGGCAATGTTGGACATCTGTTTTTCTCGATGCCGAACTCGCGCAGAACAGCTTGTAGGAAAACACGAACAGGCCTCTCCTACAGTCGGGTTGGCAACAAGAACCCTCCACCTATAATCAATGCCCCAGGTTTAACAGTCAATGGGGTGGTGGTCAGATTCTTCTGAGGGTCTGATTTGAGCTCTCCTGGAGGGTTCTGGTGGAGTCTGGGCAAAAGGAACCCCTTTCGTTTCTTGCCTGGGGGGGTCTGACACTGCCCGTCTGGGAGGGTCGCGACCCTCTCCCTCGTATTCCGAGGTCTGGAGCGCCGAAACCTACATGGGCTACAGTCAACCCGTACCGTTATGTCGGGCGTGTCCCCCTACAGGGGGATCTTGGATGAACAATTGAAAATACTCAATTATCCCAGTGCGACCCTACCTAGGAGTTGGAGCCCCCAGGAAAGCAGCATTAGTAGCAACGGTAAAGCTAAGCTAAAGCTAAGCTAAAGCTAAGCTAAAGCTAAGCTAAAGCTAAGCTAAAGCTAAGCTAAAGCTAAGCTAAAGCTACGCTAAAGCTAAGCTAACGTTAAGCTCAAGCTAAGCTACACCTAAGCGAAATATAAGCTAAAGCTAAGCTACGGCAAAGCTAACGCTAAGCTACAGTTAAGCTAAAGCTAAGCTACAGTTAAGCTAAAGCTAAGCTAAATCTAAGCTAACGCTAAGCTAAAGCTAAGCTACAACTAAACTAAATCTAAGCTAAAGCTAATACACAGCTAAGCTAAAGCTAAGCTACAGCTAAGCTACAGCTAAGCTAAAGCTAAGCTAAAGCTAAACTAAAGCTAAAACTAAAGCTACAGCTAAGGGGCGCAACTGGGGGAACCGCTCCCAGGGGACCTGGGGAACCGCCCGGGGCGTGGTCCATTGCCCGGCCCCTTTACGATAGAGAGTAAGAACCCTTCTAGGCAGAGCCTAGGTAGGGAACAAGTACCAAAGAATAGTCAACACAGGTTCCAAGCATCGTCCCCATACGATTTCTGGACTATTTTTGAATTGTCCTCCTGTAGAAGGGCAGGCCCGACCTAACCGTACCGTTAGGATGCGCGATGACGGTGCAAGGGGCTTGGGCGTGCATTTCGAAGCTTTTCGAGCGTGGCGCGACCCACGAAAGTGGCGAAGGATGGACCCAGGAGGCAAGGATGCAAGGGCACCCTCGGGATGGTTGCCCCTCCTTCCTCTGCGGGCCGACTGCACATCGCCGACAGCGCGCCTGCGGCCCAAGCCTCCTCTTCTTTAACGTTCGAAGAAGGGTACAACATAAACAGTTTATGTTATACCGTTCTTCGCCCGTTAATCGGGTCGGGCGAAAGGGGGGGATAGCAAAGGAGGGGTTTGAGAATCAGCTCGCGTAGCTGATTTTCCTAGCGCCTCCCGGCGCCGGAGACGGCTATGTATCGAGCAATGGGCCCCTCGGTGAGGCCGAAACCAGCTGCATGCAGCAGATTTCGTAACCCCCCCTTTCCCAATCCCCCCCTTTCGTTCGGCCCGAATTAACTTCTCTCCCCTACGCATCTGTCACGCCCGCCCCCGCTGAGCCGCTCCTCGTCGGCGAGGGGCCCGATGCCGAGGACGTGGGCGAAGGCCAGCTGGTCGTGCGCATACGGCCGCCTGCGGGCGCCGCCGCCGCCCCCCCCCCCAGTCGACGCGGACCCCGGGAGAGAGCACCGCAGGAGGGCCCGTCGAGCCAGCGGCGGCTGTCTGGGAGGAGGAGCGGAGGGCCCCCGCTACCGAGAACCCCTCGGGGGAAGCGATAGTCACAACGACGGGACGATGATGATGATGATGATGATGATGATGATGATGATGATGATGATGATGATGATGATGATGGTGATGGTGATGGTGATGGTGATGATGATGATGATGATGATGATGATGATGATGATGATGATGATGGTGATGGTGGTGATGATGATGATGATGATAATGAGGATGAGGATGAGGATGATGACGATGATGATGATGATGATGAGGATGAGGATGAGGATGAGGATGAGGATGAGGATGATGATGATGATGATGATGATGATGATGATGATGAGGAGGAGGGCACTTGAGATGGGAGGAGGAGCGTTGGCAGGGGGGCCTGGGCGGTGGCACGTCCGATCGTCACCCACCACACGACGACGCTCGGGCGTGCCGCGGGGGTGGGTCTCCCGTGCCGGGTCCTCGGTGGCGGTGGCCTCTGCGTCTCCTCGGACCTCCGCGGCGTGCCTCGTCCTCGTCGCCTCGGCTCGCCATCGCTCGGACGTCCATTCCCTGTGCTTTTTATTCGGTTTCGTGCGTGGCTTTTTCGCCAAATGATCAAGGATGCTCCTCGATGGCCCTCGCCGAAGGAAAAATGTACACGTCCGAGCGATGCCAAGCACGGCTGCACCTGCCCCGAAAAACGGGCCAGGCCTGGGAGGAGTCCAGGGAACGGTTTTCAGCGGACTTGGGGGCCTCGGCCCTCCTCGGAAAGCGCAGGCGCGCCGGAGCAGCAAGCAGCAGGCGCGGCCGGTCGCGAGGCCGGCCGCGGCGCTGGCGGTGCGCCAGCACGCACACGTCACGTTCGCTTTCAAATGGGAACTGAAATGTGAATCGAGATGTTTGAAGGGGCCCCAGGACACACAAATAAATACACACAAATAAAAAAAATCCCCATATTTTTCCAATATTTTCTGGGTTTTTGTCTTCCCGCCCACTTCCCATAATTTCCTATATTTTCTTGGACATCGACGATTAATTGTGTCCGTGTGTTTTTTCTCCTCCTGAATGTTCGCGGGTTTGCAGCACATCGCAGCGAAAAGTTGCAGCCGACTAGCGGCACATGGCCGCACACGCCTCGCGCCGACCGTCCACCCATCTCCCCTATCCACCAATCGCCCCTCTCCACCAATCACCCCTACTCTCCGTACACCAGACTTGCAGCGAACGCTTTGGGCGAAATTCAGGGCTCCCGTGAAAGCGCTGGCGGCGCGCACAAATCGGTAGGGGGGAGGGGGCGGCTGCTCCTTAGCAGGAGGCCGCTCCTTAGAGGGCGCTGGCCCTGCATTTACAGATGAAGGCCCGCGCCTTCTCAGAGGCCGGGGTGCTTCTAAGAAGCCTTCCCCACTGCCCCTGCCCCATTCCCAGACCCCCGACGTCATGATTTTTTCATGACGCGACCCCCAGAGGTCCGGACCGATTCCCCGGGACCGGTTTTTCATCCTGAGTCGTTTTTTGACGGTCCCGAGGGCCGGTAAGGGCCCCCGACGGCCAAAGATAATGAAAAACCTGCCGTCGTGATTTTTTCATAACTCGAGGGGTCTGGGAAGAAGCCTTCCCCACTGCCCCTGCCCCAGTTGTGCGCGCTGGCCCTACATTTACAGAGGAAGGCCCGCGCCTTCTCAGAGGCTGGGGTGCTTCTAAGAAGCCTTCCCCACTGCCCGAAGCAGGAGGAGGAGGAGGAGGAGGAGGAGGAGGAGGAGGAGGAGAGAGGAGGAGGAGGAGGAGAGGGAGCAGGAAGAGGAGGAGGAGGAGGAGGAGGAGGAGGAGGAGGAGGAGGAGCGACCGTACCAAGAAGGAACGAGACGAGGGCAGGCGGGCAAGACGCGAGAAGAGGGCAAGTGTCCGCGTGTCCGCTTGTCTCGTCTATGGCCGCATCGCATGCAGTGCAGCAGCTAGGCACTCAGTGCCTGTAGTGTAAAGAAGCGCGGCGCGGGGCGCGGCGTGCGTAATGATACGCAGTTTGTTGTAGAAGTGAAATGAAAGTGCTGTCCTGCGAACAGCTTCTGAAACTGTGTGCTCTGGGTTTGCGTGTTGCTTTGACGTCCCTAGGCCAATTCGCACGAGGGGGTCCGAGGAGAGAAAGGAACGAGGTAACGCGAGGAAGTGAAGAAGGCGAGGACAGGTGAGGTAGTGGCCGAGACGGTCAGGGCAAGCTTCGCACCCGAGCAGACACGTGCGGCGCGGTCCAAATTGGAATCGGTGACTGGTCCACCATGCTCCCGCTAGCGTTTTAAAGACAGCCCAGCGGATGGCTGGAGCTTTCTTTGAAAGGTATTTTGATAGCTCCTTCCAGCGGGTTGGAAGGGCTGGGGGGGAGCACGATTTCTGGGAGAGCCGACGAGAGGCGGCGCGCTAGGGTCTCTGCGAACTTGTCGGGGTAGAGGGAGGCGTGGAGGACCGAGGCAAGAGTTCGCTGGACCCTAGAGCGGCGCGCTTCGTTGGTGGCAGCAGCGTGCTCGTCTGCAGCGGCTTGTTGCGCCGAGCGCCAGATGGGCAGTGAAACGTCGCATGGCGGCTGACCGTCGGCGAGGTCTCGCCAGTATTCCACGATACCTGGACTTTTCCAAAACACAGGCGAGATCGTGGCCCGAATACGGGCCTGCCCCAAATCCGCCAGAGACAGTTCTGGATTGAGCTGGTCCTGGGCCAGGACGAGAGCGCGATACAGCGGCTTCCAGTCGGGAAGCGTGGCAGTGGCGGCGCGCCAGGCAGCTGCGAGCGAAAGCGTGACCAGTGAATTGGGGGAGGACGAGGGCGACCACGAGCGAGTACCGAGGAGGTCGACGAGGCGCCAGGAGTTGGGGGGCGCACGTAACATTTTGTGCAGCGCGCAGCGTTCGTGCCGCAGAAATGTGGCAGGGAACGGGAAATATTGCGTGAGATACGATAGCACAGTTATAACACATGTGTTATATAACTTGATGGCAACTGAGGGGCCAGGCGCGCTCGCCGCAAGCTGCACCACCCGTAGCCAGTATTTGTCGAATGCGGCCTTCCATTGGATGTCTAGAGTGACGGCGGGACCGATGAGTACCCCTAGATAGCGGGCGTACTCGGCAAGTTGAATGCGCTGCCACTCTGGGACTAGAAATTTGAGCAAGCGCTGAGTGAGGGATTGCACGGCAGGTGAGAAGGCGGCCCACAAGGGCACAATCACTGTCTTCTGAATCTGAAGTTCGAGTCCTGCGAGAGTAGCAATGGCCAGAAAAGGGGGGGGGGAAAGGGAGAGTTCCAAGGCGAGCGAGGACAAGGCCCAGATCATCTGCGCAGGCCCCGAGCTTATTAGATCCAGGAAGAATGTTTAAAATCTGGACGAGATGACGGATGGGGGCATCAAACGCAAGGGCCCAGATTGATCCTGAAAGAGGACAGCCCTGAAGCACCCCAGAGCCGATTTCGAACATGAATTGAAGCTGGCCACCGACGCGGGCCCACGCCCCTGGAGAATGGTAATGCGCACGGATGACATTGAGATACCCTGGGGGAACTCCGTGAGCCGCCAAAGAAGCAAACAGGAATTCCCATCCTAAGGATGGGAAGGCGGCCTTGATATCGAAACTGACTAAGATGGGAAGGGCATCTCGGGCAGCTGGGGAATGGCCTGCTCTACGGGCTTCAGAATCTAGCGTCGGAACGTGTTGTCCAAAATTACGGCCCTTTACAAATCCCTGTTGCGTGTCTACCGTTCTCTCTTTGACCATATCCACCAAGCCCATGTTCACGACGTGGGCAATCAGTTTGGCGTCGCAGTTCTTAAGGGAGAGGGGGCGAGTGGCACCTGGAGCACGAAATACGGCGTATTGGTCCTGGGGCTCATCACCTTTTGGAAGAAACGCGAAGGCGGAATCGTTGAACTGAAACGGGGCCATTCCTGTTTCGAACATCTGCATCATGAGGTCATATAAGATCTGAGAGGAGCCTGGAGAGGTAGCCCATGCAGCATAAGGTATCTGGTCAGGGCCTGGGGCAGTGTGACGTACCTTACGTAGGGCTCTCTGAAAGTCCTGAAGAGCTGGAACCCGCAGGTCCGCGCAATCGAAGACGGGGAGGTGCTGGGCCAAGTGCGACTGGACCGCGTTGGGGTCCACGTTCTTGCTCGAGAAGATGGGCTGCCAGAACTTCTGAAGACCTCCGAAAATGCCCTCGGGCGAGCTGGTGGTGGGGAGGGCTTTGGTGGGTGCCCCCTCTTTCGGAATCCTAAGTCCTGCTAGAACGAGGCGACGACGAAATGGGTTCCAGGCCTGCGCCCGGCGCATGAGCTGCAACGCGGCCTTGCGGCTGCCGGCCTGGTCCATCTGCATCTCGGCGTGGGACTGGAGCTGGCGCTTCGTAGCGATGGCGACGCGTCTGTCATAGTCTGCGGTAACTGCTGCATCCATAAGCTTGATGTACCCGTCTCTGTTGATGAGCTCGGGCCCATTGTCGGTAAGGTGAAGGTGAGCGGCGCCAATGTCCGTCGTGGCCATGAGGAGCGCAGCGGTGTCTGAGTCTTTTCGCCATACCGTCCGAGCAATGGCACGTAGTGTAGTAAGCCTCCCATGCTTCGCCCATCGGCTTTGATCATGTAGGGTGGCTCGCTGTTGAAGATTACGAGTGAGGCGAGCCGCTTCTTTGATGATGAGCTTGCGTTGTTTCCAGGCTCCAGTTGGCGTGAGAGCTGCCGAGGCGATGTTGTCCTTCAGGAAGTTGAAGTGGCGCAGGTCCGTGGGGTCGTGGAAGATGAGCGGATCAATGGCCTGTTCCTCCTTCTGCGCCGCCGATGCGTTGACCAGCAGCAGGTGCAGGATCGCGCGGTCACTGAGGCCTTTATCTGATAAGGCAGCGCCGTCTTTGTGGATCTTGAGGTGAGCGTCAACATC